CTACAGCTGGGGGTCTGTCTGTGGGGTCAGCTATCGTGATTGTGGAGGGAAGAGAGCATGAGAAAGAAGTAACAACGGCACCAGCAAGGAACAAGTTGTTAACCTGAAAATGTCTTTTCAAATTGGGCTGCGCAACGAAGGTTATCTACAAATCCAACAGCAGTCGTGGCTCCTAATCACTTACTCACCTGGGGTGAGCCTTAGGAACATCCTGGAAGAGACTATGATGGGGCCACTTTATATATGGAAATGTCATTTTATTTTTACTGAGGAGAAGAGCCACTAACTGAGAAAATAGTGTAAGAAAAAGCATCTTAATCCTCCCTATTTTTATGAAGAAACATAAAACTTCAAATGCACTAGCTTTCTTAAAAATGTTCAATAGTATATATTTCAAACATACAGAAAATGTGGAGAATAATATAAGTAATACCCGGGTACACCAAGCTTTAAGAAATCTTAACATTTTTTCCATGTTTGTATCATACCTTTTTTTTTTCTTTAGATTTTGTTTATTTATTTGAGAGAGTCAGAGAGAGAGAGAGATCGTGCACAAGATGGGGAGGGTCAGAGGGAGAAGCAGACTCCCCACTGAGCGGAGAGTCTGATGTGGGGCTTGATCCTTACTTGATGCTTACTTCATCCTTTCTCCCCCCACCCCACCCTAGAAGCAACCACTATCCAGAATTGGTATCTGTTTTCTTTTTTTTTTATTTTTTTTAAAGATTTTATTTATTTATTTGACAGAGAGAGACACAGCGAGAGAGGGAACACAAGCAGGGGGAGCGGGAGAGGGAGAAGCAGGCTTCCTGCCGAGCAGGGAGCCCGATGTGGGGCTCGATCCCAGGACCCTGGGATCATGACCTGAGCCGAAGGCAGAAGCTTAACGACTGAGCCACCCAGGCGCCCCTTGGTATCTGTTTTCTTTAGCCACATTTATTATTTTTATTTCATGAGTGTGCATCCACAGACCACATATAGAATTGTTTTTGTAAATTTAAAAACTTTTTATAACTGGCATTATGCCATAGGTATTACTTTGCAACTTCATTTGTTCGTTCATGTTGTGTTTTTGAAGTGCATCTGTTTATGTATATATAAAACTTCAGTTCCTTCATTTCCATGACAGTGTGGCATTCCATTGTACAAAAATACCATAATGTATTTATTTATCCATTTTCCTCTTGACCAACATTTAAGATTCCAGTTTCGTGCTCTTACAAACATGCTGCAGTGAACATTCTTACACACATGTGAGAGTTTGTCCAGGGTATACAACTGGGGGTTGCTGGGTAGTAGGGCACACCTATTGTCAATTTTACTAGGTAGCACCAATTGCTTCCCAAAGGCGGTTGTACCAATTCACGCTCCCACTGCCTGTATGTAAGTCTTAATATTATTCCATACCCTTGCTAACTTTTGGCATTGTCCTACTTTATAATTTTCACCAATTTGATGGGTGTGAAATGGTATGTTAATGTTGCTGTCATTTGCCTCTCCCTCTTGAATTTTGACTTGCATTAGCTTTTGAAGTTTATGCACATGCAATGCAAAATTTACTCTGTCAAAGACTATGAATAATAAAGTATGTATTTCTGTTTCATATTATTATAACCAGTGTTTGGAGCTAAAAGGAGAAAGGTGGGAAAGAAGGAAATGAAATCAAGGGGGACTATATACACATATATATTTGAAAATAGATACATGAAAATGGAGAAAAAGAGAGAGAGATGGACAGAGGGAGAGAGGAATGAATGTAAGGAACGGAGAGAAAAATGGGGACAGTGGAAGGGAAGCTTAATCAGTGTTTAGTTGAATGGCTAGTGTTGAAGTGAGGCACAGCACCTAAGAGCTTGGGCTTTGAAGTCAGACTGCCTGGGTTCAAATCTGCCCCTTCCTAGTTGGGTACCTGGAGCATATTCTCATGGCCTTAATTCCTTCATCTACAAAATTGGCATCTTAATAGCATCTCCCTGTTCAATGGACTACACGTACGTTAGTTTACAGAGTAAGAGCTCAGATTATGTTAGCGATTTTTAACAAGGCTCTTAGCAGTTGCACAGCTGTAATAATAGAATTGTAGCTCTTTAGAACTAAAGGGAGCTCCTAGGCAAATGAGTCTCCAAGTGTGGGCTCTACCGCTTAGCATTTAGATCTGTACTGTCCAACACGGTAGTCACAAACCAGCTGTGGCTACTAAGCACGTGATGTGTGACCAGTTTCAGTGCAGATGTGCTGTAAGGGTAAAATATACATTGGATTTTGAAGCTTTTGCGTGAAAAAAAAGAATGTAAATGAGGTCAATAATTTTAAACTCAATTACATGATATTTTGGATATATTGAGTTAAATAAAATATATTACTAAAGTTATATATACTTATTACATATACAAGTGTGTATATATATATATATATATATATATATATATCCCCTTTTTAATGTGGCTACTAGAAAACTTAAAATTGCATCCTTTGCTCACATCACATTTCCATTGGACAGCGCTGACTTTGAGGCTCTGAGTCTGAGCTGATGCAGTATCCATAGCAGGTATCGCATCTGACCCACATAGTGTTCCTTCCTCTAAACATGCTGAAGGAAGGGGTGCCTAGACTGGGGAAAGAGACATCATGCAGACGGCTAGGTGACAACTCAGACCCAGAGTGTGCTGTGGCCAAGTGTTCTCCCTCTCAGATGACTGGTTCGACTTCGTGACATCAAGTTCCTTAAACAAGGAGAGCGTGAGCAGAAGGGCCAGCTCGAGGCATGCTTCCCCCCGGGAGGAGACTTGCACCCAGCCCTTTAGGATGTTCACTCCAGAGCAGTTAACCCAGGACTTCCTGCTGCAGTGAAGGGAGATACCTACTGCCTTTGATTCTTAGCATGATTTTATTTGATCCTATTGATGTAAGGGGCTTGAGCCTCCTCAGGTAAGCTGCCTGGATGGAGTTAGTAGAATTAGGATTCAAAACTTGATGAACTAAGCAACAATTTATAGGTGGCTTTCAACCTTGACAGCATATTAAAATAACCTTGGGTCTTGGGGAGCTTTTAAAAACTATTTGTGCCTGGCCCCATCTCAAACCAATGAAATCAGAATGGGGGGAGGGGAGGAGAGACTTTCTCTCTTTGTTTTAGGAAGTCCTATGTTCTTATTTTCTAGAATTAATATTGTTGATGGTATTTGTTCTTCAGTTAAAGAGAAAAAGTAGTGTAAGTTCTATGATTTGTTATTTCTTTTTTAGCCGGTGGCTTAAACTAAATTTCTAGCTCAACTTTTTTTTTTTAAGAGAGAGAGTGAGTGGGGGCAAGGGCAGAGGGAGAGAGAGAATATTAAGCAGACTCCACGCCCAGATGGAGCCCAATGCAGGGCTCGATCTCACCACCCTGAGATCACGACAGAACCAAGAGCCAGACGCTTAACTGACTGAGCCGTCCAGGTGCCCCTCTAGCTCACTTTGACCCACGAAAGTCACCTGTTGCCTTTTTCTTTTTTTCCTTTTTAAAGCTAGGTTTCTAGTTTTCAGCTCTCAGCTGTCCTTGGCCCCAGAGAGATGAATCAATCCCTGCTTCCACTTGACACATTTTCTTGGCCCTTGTTCCAGAGGCATCCCGTCTGTACTTCCCCTCTTCTGCCTTCCTTTCTAGTTTCTTTGATTCATCCCTGCGCTCTTCTTCCTCGTGAGCTTCCTTCCTTGTTGTCCTGAGGCTAACATTGGCTCCTCTTATTGCATCTACAAAGACATCACACATACTTCTCTTATCCTTCTCTTTTATTTCACAAAATTTTCCATCAGAGCAAAAGACTGATCAAAACCCTGAACCCCAGGAATGCCTGGGCGGCTCATTCAATTAAGCATCTGCATTCAGCTCAGGTAGATTTCAGGGTCCTGAGATGGAGCCCCGCTTCAGGCCCCTCGATCAGTGGGGAGTCTGCCTCTCCCTCTGACCCCCCCACCCCCGCTCATGCTCACTCACTGTCTCTCTCAAATAAATAAAATCTTTTTTTTTTTAAAAAACCCTGAACCCCAAAAAAGGAAGTTTCTGTGGTTCAGTTGTAGATTTGGTGGGCTTGCACTCATGGAGAATTGAGAGACTATCATGGAAGGGAGGGCATACTCTACTCTCTTGGAATCCATTCACATGGAGCTTTTGTTCCCTGATTGGTGACATGGCTCCCAGAAAGTTGAGCATGAGGGCACATCCCTGAGTGTGAGCTGGTTCTGGCTCATGTGTGAACCTGTCTGCCTGCCCCATAGTGGAAAGAACTATGAGCAACTTGCATAGGCTTCCTGTTATGTCTGTCCAAAAGCTCCATGGAAGCTGACTGCTTCCTACCAAGATATCTGGCTAGTCCCAGAGAAATAATCAAGATTCTTGGATAGAACAGATTTCTGCTAATCCCCTCAGCCAGGATCAAGTCTCTTCAAATTCAACTTTACAAATTTGTTTGAAATCCAGCTGACTTCTAGTATACCTTTGTTAGAAGGCTGCTCATCTTTGACAGTTTGCCAAGAAGGGTATTGTGTGCCCTGTGAGATAAGTATACTTAAGGACTAAAAATAATATATGTGACTATATATTTTATATATAAAATGTTATATTTATGTATAATTATATATTTTATATATGTATGTATATATTTATATATGTACACACATATCTGAAAAGTTCTTCATTCTTCAGGATCTGTATTTCCCTACTCCTGGAGAACCTTAGCCTTTTTACAACTGTGTCTCCTGTCCAAGGAGATACCGCGCCTCTCATCTAGGCTTTACCCAATTCTTGTGCCATTTTCAGCTCCTGATTTCACTTTCTCTACTGTACTGGGTCTCTCCTCCTGTCTGGTGGCTAGAAAGTGCATGACTGATACAAAGAAAAAATAAAACAAAATATGGTGGTTGTACCAGGCAAATGAGAGCACAAGATATCACATTTGACTTAACATGAGTAGAATTTCCCCTGACGACATTATGCCTCTAACTTGTGCTTTTGCTTCCAGGAGCTCGTGTAAATGCCAAGGACAACATGTGGCTGACCCCACTGCACCGGGCTGTTGCCTCCAGAAGTGAAGTGAGTGATTATCTTATTTAATCTAGTACCTCCAGGCCCTAGAAAGAGAAAAATGCTTTCTGCTGAATTAGGGATTCTTGCTTGTGAACAAAAGGTTTCTAATGCAAGAAGGTTACCAAAATTGAACAGTTGACTTTTTGGAGCACCTCCTGCATGCCAGGCATGGTGCTTGGGGCAGGGGGCGACTGGAGTAGTCCAAGGTGGACGGTGTGATCCTTGGCTTCAGTGAGTTCTCAGTCTGGAGGGGGTGGCAATCAGGTAAGCATATCAGTACAATATCGTAACTTGGTTGGAGGAGGAAGCAAACAACTGCTTGAATAGAGAAGTCTTCCAAGAAGGGATGTCAATTGAGCTGGTCCTTGGAGGATGGGTAGGCACTTACGAAGCCAGGGGAAGGAGGGAGGGTGGAGGCAAGGGGATAATCACGCTAGAGGACAAGGGACGTGGAAATGAATAAATGGTGGGTTCAGCTGGATGTAGATGGAACAAGGGGTGTAGTGGAGATAAGTCTGATAGCAGGGGCTGGGTCACATGGCAGAGGGCTGGGGGTCCTCTGAGCAGTGGGGTGTGGTCACAGAGTTGAGTATGAAGCTGACAGCATTTGGAACCTCGTGAGGGTGAGGTAGAAGAGAGGCCACTGGGTGAATGGCGGGGCCATTAATTGAGAAGGCAGAGGCGGAGGAGCAGGGAAAGGAAGCCAATCAGTTCTGTCTGAACGTGCTGAATTTGGCAAACATGTCACCAGAATGTAAGCTCCAGAAGGGCAGGAATCTGTGTTTTGTTCCCTGATGTATCCCAAGCCTGGTCCATTGTAGGTGCTCATGAAAGAATTTATTTTGCATTCTGGAAATGCAGGTGATGATGGCTATTAGATGATCATTATTCATACAGGTCTTGCACTTAGGAACTGAGAGGCTGGTCGTTGAAACTATAGCAAGTGGATCAGCTGGTTCAGGGAAAGTATAAGTGCCGAGAAGAGAAAACCAGTGTGGGTGAGGGGTGGTGGGGATTGCTGGTGACTTTGAGCCTTGAAACCTGGTCAGGGGTGATGCTTACCATCAAGGGAGCCAAGAGGCTCTTACCCAGGAGGTACTTGTCACTGGATGACTAGTCTTTATAGCTGATTTTACCAAATGAGGTTCCTCGGCTACCAGCAAAGGTGCTATTCTCCAGGTATATCTAGGAGCAAGGGCTGTTGCCGAGGATGCCCTACTAATGTTGCAGGTGTCAAAGGCTGTCATCAGTGTCAGCCTTTTCTCTTGGGCAACTATCTGGTAGATGACAGTTATCTCAGGGCTCACAATCTTCCTTGCTGTGCTGTGTGATTTGAGGAGTTTTTATAAGGTGTAGGTTGTGTTCTCTTTCCTAAGAGCCCACATGGCATAAGGGAGGCAAATGATCCTAAGTTGCCCAGCTCATACCCTGGAGAATCTGGAATCTTCTTATGGTCCCATATTTCATATCTGTTTTTCCTGGGAAAGCAGGAACAGTGGGCTACTCGAGTCTGTATGACCAGCTTCATGAGACCAGCTCCTTTACAGAGGAGTATTTCCTGGTCTTTTAAGACCATGTGGTCTTCAGTAAATTTCTTTTTAAGTATCTTTTGAAAAATATGGGTTTGTTTCCTCTTTTAACAAAAACCAGGTCTTTTAAGCTAAAAAAAAAAAAAATTCATTAAGCACTTCCTATATGCCAGGCCTTGTGCTTAGGAGGCATGTGGTCTAGTGGGACAGAAAGACATAAGACCAGATGATTTCAGAACTATGTGATCTTTCCCAAGTGATCTCCCCCTTTGTTAGCTCAGCTACTTGCTTCAGGCCTCAAAACATCCATTTGCATCAACCCTCAGCTTGCCTTCTTTACGTGTCTTTAGTGTATGTGAGTTCAGTGAACCCAATGATGGATCAATCTTTGTATCTAAGAAAGGCATTTGTTGCTTCTCTAAGGAACCAGCTCCCTCTGCAGGTTTGCTGGGGGAAAAAAAATCCCTTGCAGCTGTCTCTTGCTGGGAAGGAATTAAATGCAAACAGACCCTGAGTTGTAAATAATCAGGGTCATATATAAACTTGCGAGAGAAGATGTCTTCATATTAATATCTATCACAACAAGTTGAAAAGTTTCTTATGAAAACTGGAGTCTTTGTAACCATCATTGGAACTGTGAACATCTTAACTCCAGCACATCGCTGTGCCATGGCGGTTCTAAATTCAGATTTCTTGCTTCCTTTGAATTTGATGCTCTTGCCATTACATTGTGCCTCCCCTAAATCATAGCTGAGGCAAGAGAAGCAGGCTAGATGGGGAAACGACAGAGAAGGTTTGGATTGGTGTTTTGAAACTTGGCTGCCATAGGGGATCTGTGCGCTCAGCGTGAAAGCTGGCACATCTCTCCATCGCTTAGATTGGCAAAGACCGGTATTACTTACATTAATATGAATTAAAAACCATTTCTTCATCGAAAGGCTTATAAACTCTCTACTGTCCTCAAAGCCCTTTGCTTCTAAATTGTAGGTAATTGATGCTTCCGTGTTCAATCAGGGAACCAGAACCACCAAGGGAGATATAGGATAAAATCTTTATTATAGTAACTAGACCTTCCACAGTTGTGTGAGCTGCTGGAGAAGTTTGTGTCAGGCTGTCCCCTTGGGTTCTGGTGGTCTGAAGTCACTGTGGGCTGGCAGGGTCTGCCGTTGGGGGTAAAAAAGCTGGACGTGAAAGGGGAGAGAACAAAGACAAATTGGAAGCCCTGACTGTCTCTTACTGCCTCAACATGTGGACTTGGGTGACTCGCAGAAGGGGCTGTGACCTTCACCTTAGAGCTTGCAGGGGGCACCTGGCCCGAGGAGGGGAGAAACTGAGGCAGATACTGCAAGTTCTGAAGACACACCAGCTATGCCCTGTGCCAACACGCGGCTCCTGCTGGTCGGTGAGGACGTGCGCAAGCTGCAACAGGGCCTGGCGCCCAGCACACCAGTCAGCCTGTGCTTTCATCTGTGCCTTCCAAAATGCATGAAGATTTCTCTTGTGGCAAACGGGCCTGGGGAGGGGATCCTGAGAAATGTAGTTCGAATGTAGGCTAAGCTGACACAGTATAAAACTACCCCTGAAATTGTTATTCTATTCTAATTAAAAAGACCTTCTAGATAGTAAGTTCCTTGAAATGAGTGCCACACCTGTTTGCTTGTCATTGTATTTCTAGCGTCTTGCCTGCTCAGTAAACAATTGTTTTTTTTAAAGTGTTTTCTTTTTACATTTTTTAAAAAGCTTTTATTTATTTGAGAGAGAGAGAGAGCATAAGCAGGGGGAGCTGCAGAGGGAGAGGGAGAAGCAGACTCCCTGCTGAGCAAGGAGCCGCCGTGGGGCTCGATCCCAGAACCCTGGGATCATGACCTGAGCCGAAGGCAGATGCTTAACCAACTGAGCCACCCAGGTGCCCCTAAACAATTGTTTTCTGAGTGATTCCTTAAAGACTGGCTTTCTAACGTAACCTATGTTAATGTGATTCTCTGTACAACTGCTAACGTAGAACTAGTTTGCACCACAGAGAACGCTGGTGGTAATCATCTTGCATGCATGCAAGGTAAACCGATTTGAAGCTTATTTCTGGAAGTGTAGCCCTGGAAGCCATTTAAACCACTGGAACCTGAAAAATCAGGATGAGTTTCAAAATTGTATGCAACATAGGTATCTGTGTAAGTCAGAGATACCCGTATAAGTCAAGATTTCTGAGCTTTCTTTCCATCCAGGCAAATTTTATGTTCCAATTTCTATGCCTGGAAAAATAATGTTCGTTGCTTAATTTATTTCCTGAGCCTGTAATAGCAATAGGAGTATCAGATCATCCTATTGATTAAACATCCACCCATGCCTGACAGAAAAGCTCCTACACAGACAGGAAAGTAGATCAAGACAGGGTCATACCTGCTGAAAATTGTCCAGTGTGGATTGGGTTCTGGAGATGAACTTTCAAGACTTTTCTTGGTACTGACCAGGCTGTGCCGTGTGCTTCCTTCTGATCCAGAACCCACCCCTCCCCATGTTTGGGGTTCCCAGGGAGGAGACAACCAAACACATAATTGGAGCCAAGCAGCACTGTCTCCCCAGGGCCTTGAACTCACCCCCCCCAATTATTCCCACTCCTGAGAAGACATGAAGATAGTCTCTTGCCAAAATATTAGGGAAACATATTTTGAAATTCTAGATAACATAGATGAGCAAGATTTGGGGCTTACAGGGAGAATTTCCTGAAGCACTGTGAATTATTTCATATTGTTTCTCCTATTTGGCTTATTCTTGCTGCTTTTTTGTTTTTCTTTCTTGGAAAAGAGCAGCCCTGGGGACAGGAATTAAATCCATACGAACCTGGCCAGTTTAATACATGTTTATTGAAGCCCACTCAATGGAAGGCACTGTTAATGTGTGCTACAGGGGCCTTGAAAGGGTACAAAGTGTGTCTTCTAGGACATGGTATTTAGGGCAGACAACCAGGCACACAGCCTACCGTGGCCTACATCCAAATGCAGCTGGCCTTTCACACATGCCTTTTCTTTTTAAAGATTTTATTTATTTATTTATTTGACAGAGATAGTGAGAGCAGGAACACAAGCAGGGGGAGTGGGAGAGGGAGAAGCAGGCTTCCCACCAAGCAGGGAGCCTGATGCAGGGCTCGATCCCAAGGACCCTG